GCTTGTAGACATGGCTCAGAAGGGAAATAGGTCGATAGTTCTTCAAGAGGGTTTTGTCTCCTTTCTTAAAGAACATAACGACAACACTCCTGCTCCATGCCCTTGGAGTTCTCCCCGAGAAGAGAACGGAATCAAACATACGTCGGAGTCGCTCGAGCACCGGTTTTCCACTTGCCTTAAGGAGCTCCGTCGTGATTCCATCTTCTCCGGGGGCTTTTCCATTTTTAAGTTGCCCCAAAGCCACCGCGATCTCACCTAGGCTGATTTCTGGCAAGTCTTCGGTGAAGTGGCGGACAAGTGTGGCTCTGGGATCCCCCGAATCTGAATGAGGACGAGGTGCTTTTGACGCGTACAACTCACCGTAGAAGTGCCGAACCTCCGCGAGAATCTCCGGCCTAGAAGATACGACTTTCCCACTTGATGTGGTCAGCTTCGTCAGATGACTTCGACCCAATTGCTGGATGAAGACTTTAGACCCCCGATTTTGCTCGATTGCTTCTTTTATTGCGCGTGTATTGGCGCATCGGAGGTCGCGTTTCACCAGTTTTGAAATCTTTTTGTTAAAATCTGACGAAGCGACTGTTTGGTTTTCCCGTCGTCTCTCCATTAGCTGCAGAGACTCCCCCGAAAGCTTGGCCCTCCGTCCGGTATTCTGCGTCCGGCACAATTTTGTTCCTTCATCCCGGAGGATCCCGACCATTATTCTTAGTTATAAAAACTAAAAGGACGCTTTAACTACATTATGTCCTTGTTATGCGACTAAGTTGAGTTGTCACTAGTGCAACTGCTGAGCAAGGGGTTTTGGGTTTGATTCCCAGATATGGGAAAGTATTACTGGTTTTTTGTAATTCTCAGTAATAGCACGGAGTCTGGAATTGTGTCCTGTATATGACAATAGGCTCACTCCCTATTACATGTTACATGGGACTCATAACATAAATAAATCGTGAAAAGTGGGTGTTATATTGTACAGTGGCACAAAGTGCCATAAAGTACCTCTGCCTACCGAGAAAGAAAGGCGTGTTGTTAGATATGTCATTGTTATTAAGAAAAAATGACATAATAATTATCTTATGAGCCTAAGCTATATATTTACTAGTAGGCAGGTAAGTAGCACCGGGTTCCATCAGCCACCTTCTAATTCCATCATCACACCAGCTCGATGACAATATTGTATGGTTATCCAATGTACTATTTTTATCTACAACACGGTTGTGCAGTGGCTGGGCAACTGGCTGCCATGCCACGTGTCGCGAGTTCGATTCCCGCACGATACAAGGATCCACATATTGTTATTTCGGATTTGAGTGTCAGATGATCAAGTAATCAAGTATTTATTGTGTCTATGATGTAAACCAGCGTTTCTCAGCCTTTTCAGCTTTTTTGCCCTTTTGTATTTAATGAACGATTTATGTGTGGTCCAGAGATGACACCGCGGACCCCCATACATAGGTATACTCGCGGACCCCCAGGGATCCGTGGACCACAGTTTGGGAAACGATAGTGTACACATACAGGTAGTTAGAAAATAAAATAGTATCATTTACGGACTCTGACAGGCACAGTTTAATTTTAAATGTGATATTATGCACATGTGTATGTGAACTTGTATGTTTGTAAACGCACCCACGACCCAAGCGAAAATCCTTGTGTGGGACAACGATTAAAAAATTACAATAAATATTTATGATGCCCAAGTTTCATAATGATGTAACAAATTATTAAAAGTGTGTGTGATTTAGATTCTTAGATTATATTAAATACTATTTTATCTAGCTTGATAAACATCGATAGCTTGATAATTAAGGCGTGAAAAAAAATCGTTTGTCATGGTTTCATAGTTGTTAATATTAGGATTATAAAGTTCAAATTCCTACCTTCGATATATATCTCCTATCAAGATTAATGTCTACTATTGGACATTCAAACAATTAATACTAGTGCCCTTTTGGGCCGTATTTAGGCAAGCCCATTAATTTAGTTTTGCCCTCTGTTCGCAGATATTTATGGGAACCAAATCCTTAGTCAGTTTCTATCATCAAGCTGGATTTACGATTTGTAAGTTGCGTTGGAGACAACTGTAGAGGTATAAAATTAATAGGGTAGATGCCTAATTTTTATCTTAATATCCGTCTGGTAGATTATTTTAAATCATTACACACGTATTTTTTTTTATTTTCTTACAGAAACAAATACTTTCGACGATATATTGATTGGAAATGTCGCGTGACGTCACTTCTATGTACATTTTATACGTAGAAATGACGTTTCAGCCCCCACTCCTAAACTTTGATTCGTTTTATCTAAGTATTTTTTTTATTATAGTACAAAAAAAAATCTGGACTAAAATTTTTTCATTATCTTCCTTACGGACTAATTAGATTTCCCAATTGGCTCATTGTAGGAGATTTTATTTGAATTGAAGTCATTATTAATTTACTTTTAAATAACAGATTCATTACAAAAGCTTCTGAGAAGATTTTATAACAAAGATATCCTTTTTTTGATGTGGGATAATTATCCGATGGCTTCTTCCACCTTGGGTATGGCGAGAGTGAGTGTCAGACTCTTACTGACTAAAAACCTCCCCGTTCCTACTCCTGCTCTTTGAGCTGAAGCCCCGGCAACCCGTTAGGCCTTCCGTAGCTACATATCGGGCATCAGTCCTACTGGGCCCCATCTGTGACGTTCTTAAACAAAACTATCCTTATATAGAAGATAGCTTTTACCCGCGGCTTCGCTCGCGTCACAAAAAGATAAAAAGTAGCCTATGACATATATTAATACATACAGCGCCATCTATACCAATAACTTTTGTTTTCCCTCGGGAATACCAAATTTTTCCGGGATAAGAAGTACCCTATTATTTAATCCGGACTTCTAACTTGCAGACGTAAGTCTGCAAAAATTCAAAGCAATCTGTTTAGTAGTTACGGCGTGAAAGCGGAACAAACAAACAAACTCACTTTTCGATTTATAATATTAGTAAGGATTAATAAATTAATTATATTTATATTTACCAATGGACCCCGCAAACGTTATATCGCCTTGGAAATTTTGTGCGCATTTTTTTAACAATAACTAACTTAACATAAAAAGAATTAACGAAATTGATTCAGCTGTTCTCGAGATTTGCGCTTAGCAACATATTGCACAGAGCGTTTTTTTTTTATCTAGACGATAACAATATCGTAGTACTTAGTCATCTATTGCATACTGATAAATATTTGTGTTTATAGAAATAAGATGTGCGATTGTAATAATTATATTTAGAGCTCCTCTCGTCTGCAATATAGGATTGTCCTAGTACAGGCATCTAACTATTTGAGATCAATTGTACGTAGTTAAGATATATTTTTAAATTTTACGTTTTTGTTATAATGAATACAGTTTTAAAGTTTTTTTTTTTCTACAAAGGTTTGCAGAAGCATAGTATTGTGCATCTCTTTTACCATTGGCACAGTAATAATATCATACGGTATTCCCACTTCATACAAATGGACGAAACGCGAACTATACCTACGCGGCTCGATGTCATGTGTGTTCGGGGCGCAGACAGGCGCGGCTGTACCGCAGGGACAAACGGACGGTACATATTTAATAAAATGAGTACTTAGGAAATATTGTGCTGTTTCTGGTTAAGTATATCTTTTTCGCAAATATTTTTCGGTCGCTTTATAAGCCCGATTTGTTTTTCAAATAAAAGCATGTTTTTCAAAATTAAATCTACCAATCAAAAAACAACACAAACCACAAGTGTGGGAGAGCCATGCTTCGGCATGAATGGGCCGGCTCGACCGGAGTGATACCAGGGCCTCACAGAAAACCGACGTGAAACAACGTTTACATTGTGTTTCGTCGTGTGAAGTTACCGGAAGCCCAATTACGCCCTCCCCCCTCCCTAGTCTCCCCAATTCCCCTATCCTCCATAATCCTCAAACTCCCAGTTCCCAAAAGGCCGGTAACGCACTTGAAACGCCTCGGTGTTTCAGGTGTCCATGGGCGGCTCCGATTGCTTACCATCAGGTGATCTGTCTGCTCGTTTACCGGCTTTTGCCATAAAAAAAACACGAATTGTTATCGAACACTCCCTATTCAATATGCAAAATATTTTAAATGTTTATATAAAAAAAGGATATTTACTATCACAAAACAGAATAGAAACAGAGAGTAGGCAAATGTAATTAAACTGCTGGAGACGGGCAGCCCTAACGCATGTTTACGTACCGCACGGCTGTAGGTATTTAACTTTGTGATGCGGCCGAGTTACACATTATAAGATTACAAAGTTTATAGTAAAAACGACTTATAATTACTGAACAAGGTGCAAGTGACCAGTCAGTCAGCAATTATCACACATGTCACAATCGACGAACTTGTATGAAAATTGTAGGTTTTTGTGTAGGTAATTAAAGAAACTAAAGTGAAAATGAATAATTAAAACTGACGAATAATTCCGAAATTGAATATAAAATTTAAACATACTTTTACTTATACGTTTTTTTCGTCAAAAATATTTGGCAACCCTAGTTACACTATTGTATGACAATATTACCGTGCCATTGGCTACTAGCTACTTATTAATGGACAAATATTGTACCATGTAATGAAGTAAAAACATAAACCGAAACTAGCCTTTATATCTTCTTCACTAAAGATGATTTTCCAATGTCATTATTAAACAAAGCAATTACACAATGTATGAACGACAGGTTCTTTTCTGCAAGGGAGTTCCCGTAAGATGTCGGTTACTCATATTTGAACTCACGATTATGCTATAAACCAAACTGAAATATAATTTAACAATTTTTAAATAAAGATCAAATTCCTGTGGCATGTTCAAAGAAAGTTAAAGAAAAGGAATATACGACTTATCTTGCTGTGTTATAAGGAATAGTTTTCAATGACTGTGTATTTAAGTTATGATTGTATGGTAAGTACAAAGGGTGTTTTAAGTTTGTATATAAAGGGGGAACTGTTCTTGATCATATATCAGTTTCATTTGAACTTTCTCCAAGCCACGAGGTGCACGGTAGAGGCGAAAGCCAAGTTCTAAAAAAAAAAAACAAAAATGAATTCCAAAATCATAATTTTCTTCTGTGTCTGCTTCCTAGTGATGTCTACAGTCTCAGCATGGGACCTCTTCAAAGAAATTGTAAGTACCGTATTTATATTTTGTCCTTTTTTTCGTATATATATATTTTTTATGAAGTCTCAACTGTAGTACCTACTAAATAAAATTGTGTTATTTAATAGGACTAGGAGTGACGTCACTATGTCATATACCTACTTACATCATATACCTACTTACATAATAAAATATACTAAAGTTATTACATAACATAACTTCACGCCTTTTATCCCCTAAGGTGTAGGCAGATGAAACACTCACTTTTCACTATTAATGTTATGAGTCTCATGTAATAGGGGGTGAGCCTATTGATATATATCGAGCACAATCCGTGCTACTATTGAGATTTTTTTAAAAACCCAGTCGTACTTATCTCGTCACGGGAATCGAACCCGAGATCCCTTGCCCAGCAGTCACACTAGCGACCACTCGGCAACGAGGCTGTCAAAAGCTAAAGTTATTATTTTATATTTATGCAATTACTTACTTAATTACTACAATTCATATTAATTACTAATACATTTAATAATCTTTATCGTAGCTATCCTTTATCTATCAATATTATATTAAGACTCGTCTCCACTAATAGGGCTGAAGAACTTGTTTGTCTGATCGCTTTAATCTCTAAAACTACAGGTCGGAATTGACACCATAACATACCATCACGCCTTTTATTCATGAAAGGGTAGGCAGAGGTGCACATTACGGCACTTAATGCCACTGTACAATGTAACACCCACTTTTCACTGTTTATGTTATGAGTCCCATGTAATAGTATCCCATGTATATATTTTTCATTTCTAGGTTGCAATCTCCAACTCGCCTGTCAAGCGCGGACATTGTAGCAATTGTATAAAATCCATGGTCCTACAATTTATAGTCATTTTTGCTAGAAACAACGACAATGTGCCTTTGTATTTAATACTTACAATATTACTATCACTACATAGTATAAAACAAACTCACTATGCGCCGTCTGTCTGTCCCTATGTATCCTTAGATCTTTAAAACTACGCAACAGATTTTGATGCAGTTTTTCTAATAGATAGAGTAATTCTTAAGGAAGGTTTATATGTATAATATATGCATGCCGGGGAGGGTCGCTAGTAATGTAATACAGATATATGATACTTGAACAAGTAAAGCAAATAAGTTAATGCAAGAATTCCACAATTTTTATATAAGATAGAATTTTTATGAGTTAATTAGATATTTCGCCAATCTAAGTCTAAAACATCACGCTTCGGTCAATAGGAACTAAGCAACGAGAGTAGGTACCCGCGCGAGATAGCTAATAACGTATAGGTAATCATGACGTAACCTCATTGAATGAATTGCATTTGTTTAATGATAAAACGTTATCCTATGCCATTTTTTCCATCGGAATATCAGTTATTTTCTTAAATTGTCACATATCTTTGCGATAATGACAAATATAAATATTTATTTATTTTGTCAATGTTGGTATTTTACAGTGGTAGATACCTACGAATGGTAGATTGTTACACAGTACAATCTATACTCTGTACCTACAGACAAATAAAATTGGAGTGTCTGTTTTTAATATTAAAATAACCGCTTTTTACTACATGAGTAACATAGGCCACTTTTATTTTCGAGAATCGAAACAGAAAATGTTATTATCTAATATTAATATTCTACCCGGACAATGTCGCAGGCAACAGCTAGTTCTAATCATAAAAATAATAGAATTATATTTGTATTTATTTAAGGAAGGAGTTGGCCAAAGAGTTCGTGATGCTGTCATCAGTGCAGGACCAGCAGTAGACGTTCTAGTGAAAGCTAAACACCTAGCTGGAGGGTCCAGCGAAGAAGATTAGAAAGTCATCATTGTGAAACTACCCTGATGAGAATATTGTTTAAGAAAATTATACCAAATGTTTAATTGTATACGGTCGAGTTTTGTACATAAGCATATCATATTAGAATGTAACTGCATTTAATATTTTTTATGTTCATTCTTTCAGTATTTTTATATAAATCATTTCATTAAACATCATGTATTAAGCTCATTTGTGGATTTTATTACATCTATAACAATAACTGCCGTTGACAGTCCACTGCTGGAGTACTGTTAGTTGGCTTTCTCCACATAAAAGTGTTTGCTAAGAATTTTTAGAGAGCGCTACTGCTCGATCCCCTAGTCTGCTTTTACGCAGCAATTCACCGAGGGAAGTAGAAACTATCGCTGTTTTTCTCCTCTTATAATATTTTCTTGTTCATTTCGTCGGAATCGAGAAGTTATTAGTTGTTCATGTCCCTGAGACCGGCGCATCTTCAGTGTTGCGGTGTTTTCATGGCTGTATCTAGTGTAGATCCTGGCTTACAGGAGTTGCTGCGGTTTTGGGAGGTTGTGTCGGGCTTGTCCCATAAAATAGTCTACTATTATAACACCCATAGGAAGAATAGGAATGGAAACAAATGTCTACTCAATCAGCAGAAAAATACATTTCTAACAAAAAAAACTTACCGTTATCTTGAAACAAATTTTAATTATACCGGAACGCTTACGATTACAATTTTCTACTTATATAGTTTTACGATCTTAGGTTTCAGAGCCAAATATCAACAAAATTGGTTCTTGAAAGAACACTCGGTTTCGACGTGTACTGTATAATGTTTTATTACACAACGATTTTATTTTTACTGCGTAAGTAATGATCATAAATTATTTTCACTTGGCGGTTTTTATTAACTTATGTTTTGGATTATGTGCTTCCACTATTGGTTTTGTGAAAAAAAGGATTACATTTTTTATGAGATAATCCGATAAACGACGGATGCTAAGCAATCGGCGTCGCCCATGGACACATGAAACACCAGAGGCGTTACAAGTGCGTTACCGGCCTTTTGGGAATTGGGAATTTGAGGATTGTTGGGGATTCGGCGATTGGGGAGACTGGAGAAGAGAGGATTGGGCCTCCGGTAACCTCACTTACACAACGAAACAAAACGCAAGCGTTGTTTCACGTTAGTTTTCTGTGAGGCCGTGGTATTGCTCTGGTCGAGCCGACCCACTTGTGCTGAAGTATTGCTACAAAGTAATACATACACATATACATAACTTCACGCCTGTCTCCCAGGCAGAGACTAGGGAACGCCAATTACCACGATTCCCACATACCTCTTTCGCTTCATCATCAGTCCTCAATCAATCATTCTACAAACTAATCTTGAACATTATACCTAGTGAGTTTGAATTCATCTACTAATAGTTTCCAAATTCTTGATAAGAACACGAATTTTATAATTATATCCAGTGTGTGATGATAAGATTGACCTTAATTATATGGAACTCGATATATCTTAAGAGCTAATTACTCATCGTCATTACCTTCTTACGTAATAGCTTCGGATCGACGCGTAGTATGTTTTCTTCCATTCTCTTCTAACAATATCTTCTTCTCAAAAACTCTCTAATTATCTTCTTCTTTGACATATTTTAATAAACATTTAAATGTATTTTTTTCACGTGGAATGTAACGGTACAGATTCGACTTTGAGCATTACATTACAATAATACCTCCCTGACTAACGAGCAATTACGTAGGTATATGTATAATATAAACTGTTCAACTCTATAATGTAAAAGTATATAGATATTATATATGACTGCGTCGTTGACCGAGTGTTCGCAAGTGCGACTGTCGGGCAAGGGGTCTCGAATTCCCGGGTCGCGAGGAGAATTACTGGGTTTAAAAAAAATCTCATTCGTAACACGAAATCTGGAATTGTGCACGGTACCTATATGGCAATAGACTCACACCCTATTACATGGGACTCATAACGTAAATAGTGAAAAGTGAATGTTACATTGTACAGTGGTATTAAGTGCCATAATGTGCACCTCTGTCTACCCCTTTGGGGATAAAAGGCGTGATGTTATGTATGTGTGTTATTTTATGTAGGTACATCGTTAGCTTCTTCAATATACCTAAAATATCGATTCCTTAGTCTACTCTCTATTGAGAATCTAAACGTTAATCGAGGGTACCTATTCGATAGTTTGGCTCTATTGAGGCTATTAATAACAATTGGTTTTAACTGGCTATCTAGATAACTAGGTGCCAACTAGACGATACTACGATATTTCGAAACAATATCAACTAAAATAGCTTTTATAGGCAGTTCAGTTTGATAATATGGCCCTTTACTTGGGTAGTTCATGTTAACTCAATGTTTTGGTGTATAATTATTTTATATTAATGATATTATAGTTACTACACATAACACTTTGCTTATTTAATATCATAACATCATGCCTTTTTATCCCCGAAGGTGAAGGCGGAGGTGCACATTATGGCACTTAATGCCACTATACACCCACTTTTCATTATTTTTTGAAGCCCCACACTAGTATTGTCTCCTGTGTCGTGGGTGCGTTTACAAACATACAAGTTCACATACACAATGACACCCAGACCAAGAACGACAATCTGTGGATCACACAAAAAGTGTTTGTGATTTATGTTATGAGTCCCATGTTATAGGTGAATCTTTTGCCAGATACCGTGCACAATTTATTCCAGACTCCGTCACACTACTGATAATACTTTGCCCGAAACGGGAATCGAACTCGAGATCCCTTGCCCGAGTCCCACTTGCAACAACTTGACTAACGAGACAGTTAAGTCAGTCAGTTTAAAAACAGTGATTATAGAAAATAAATGACAAAGTATTCAGTGCAGATTTTCTTTAAAAAAACAACGTTCTCGTCTTATAGTAAGCGATGATGTGACCGACGAGGGAGCACGCCTACCTATAAGCAGCCTGTTCACTCGGGACTTGAAGACCTAAGTTGTATTTTTCGCGAAACACAGACCCCGGCAAAGAGTAATTTCACTCCTTAGCGGTTCGCTCAAGATAGCTTGGGCTAACTATTTATTTCTTTGACTTAAATCATCAACCAATCAGCTACATTTTATTTAGTCGATTATATTAATCGATTATTAGGATTTTTTTTTAAGGGGGGAAAATCATCGAATGACCTCTCCCGCCTGGGTGAGGCGGGAGGGAGTGTCAGACTCTTACTGACTAAAAACCACCCCGTTCCTTCTCCTGCACGTCGAGCCGGAGCCCCGGTTACCCGTTAGGTTCTCCGCGACTCCGAATCGGCATCGGCCCTATTGGGCCCCATCGATTATTAGGATACACTCTTTTTATTCTACAGTTAACTATTGTATTTAAGTTATTTGAATATTATAATTGTATAAATATATACAACTTAAAATATAACTAACTAAAAACTAAAATATTTACACCCTAAAAAACCTTTACCTTACTTTCTCTTTTCCAGTATTAATGGCAGATTCATTAAATGCACAAGCCAACTATGTGAATGCCAGTCACCCGAGACCATGGAAGGTGTTGTACTATCCAAAGAAAACTGTTTTCAAAAAAGCTGACCTCATTGATAAAGGATGCGTGGTTTTCCTGAAGATGTGTCCTAGGTTTTATAAGTAAGTTACAATATATAGTCAGACATCGGGCCAGTAAAAAGTTAAAACCATGTGGAATACGTGGGTTTCCACTATTGTCCGTAGTATTTCGTTACTTATTTTGATTCTATTATTTATTGCATGCATCATCAACGGCCTATTAATAGCCACTGCTGACCAAAAGCCTCTTTTCACATGGAGAAGGCTTGAGCATTAATCACCACGCTTGCTCAATGCGGGTTAGCAATTTTAAACTTATAATTAGAACTTTAGAGCCCAGGCTACGATGTTTTTCTTCACCATTTTGCCAATGGTGTCTAGATAATAATCGTACAAATTACTTGGAAAAACGGCACAATGGTACTTGCCGTTGGAAGGTTTCGAGCCCGCACTCACATGCTTGAGAAGAGGACGTCGAAAATTCTCAATAACAGACTTAAAATCTTTCTAGTCTAGCTAATATTAGAAATAATCATAAATATCAATTAATATAAATTGGACTCAATATTTTGTATAGTCCTGAAGGTTAAGTGACTTATCAATACGACCTTTTCAAGTAACATGATATAAATACTTTCTAAGTTCATTGAGTCATCACTGACATATGAAGAAGGTACATCGTGAATAACCCAGATGTATACAACATTATCAAAAACAGAAACCGCACAATCTGCCTTGACCAAGCATACTTATTAATGCTTATTTTTTCTCCGTGTAAGAAGAAGCCTTTGCCCAACTGTAAGACATTTAGGCTGATGATGATAAGTGCTATCCACACCGCACTGACTGCTTAGGTGATACCATATTCTTCACAAGGGTCGATTTTTTTAGTCTTCTTGTGAGTCGTGATAAAATAACATTACAATTTCAGACGTAATGTGGTCTGCGCTCGTCACTACGACGGACAATACAAAACCTTTGATAACTACTGCGAAATGGAATATGAAAATTGCAACAGTTGGAGACGTAAGTACCTTTATGAACTAACCAGCCAGCGATTTCAGACGAATACATTGGTAATTTCCATTTCCTTGGAAATCCTTTCTTAATGCTGCCCTACACTCCCCAAGGTCAAGTGTGGGAGAGCCATGCTTCGGCACGAATGGGCTAGTGCGACCCGAAAGATACCAAGGATACGTAAAACAACGCTTGCGTTGTGTTTTATTACCCCTTTCCCCAATCTCTCCAATTCCAGTATCCCCCAATAATCCTCAAATTTTTAATCCCCGTAAAAAACTGGTAACGTACTTGTAACGCCTCTAGTGTTTCGGATGTGTCGCGGAGAACCTAACGGATAACCGGGGCTCCGGCTCGACGTGCAGGAGAAGGAACGGGGTGGTTTTTAGTCAGTAAGAGTCTGACACTCTCTCGAGGCGGGAGCATGATTTTCCCCCCTTAAAAAAAAAAAAGTGTTTCGGATGTCCCGTATGGAAGTGAGGGGGTGACGCCGATTGCTTACCATCAGATGATCCGTCTGCTTGTTTACCGGCTTATGCGATAAAAAAGAACTTCTTTCTTCTTCTTTTATATTTGTCACCAACTTTAGGCCTACTTCCCAGTGTCCACGACACGTCATTTGACGAATGCTTGGAACCTACAATAATAAGCTGTCTCCAATTTTTTTTTAAAACGTTGCCCCGCACTAGTATTGTCTTCTGTATCGTGGATGCGTTTACAAACATACAAGTTCACATACACATGACACCCAGACCCGGAACAACAATCTGTGGATCACACAAAGAGTTGCACCGTGCGGGAATCGAACCCGCAACACGTTGCACAGCAGCCAGTTGCTCAGCCACCGCACCAACCGTGCAGTCAAGTGATATGAATGAAATAAAAATAAGACATGCTTGCATCTTGCCTCCTATCGTCATATTATGTAGGATGCATGCATTCGTCAAATGACGCGTCATGGACACTTTCCGTCATTCTAGAGTTATGGGCATATAGCGGCAAGTCCACCAACTCCTTTGTGTCTTTATTAGGTTTTTAAATTTATTGTTTTGATATAAAATCTAAAATCCTCCTGATTTATTGAATGTAGTGTTATATTTTATTTATGCAAAGCAAACAATTCTTACTTTCAGAATGGAGTTTGATCAAACATACGAGATGTTAATAGAATAAGCGCCGGTTTCAGCACCTCTATATAAGTACCTGATAAACTTATGTGACAGATAGTTCATACAAATTACGTTCTTAATTCAAATTTATCTGGTAGATAGCGGCTACCCAGATATTGTGAAACAGGCCCTAAGTATGTAGATACATTATTTCTAATTTAAATTTAATATAATTATTTGTAATAACAATTGTTTTATTTTTTTCCTTTATATTCAAAATAAAATACATTTAGACGTTTAAAGTTGCTGGAACATTTTTACACATTTTTATACGGTCACTATTTACAAACTATTATCAACATAGGCCTTATTAATTTTATTTAGAGTAGACATTACTATGGACCCTAGAACAAAATGTAATTAATTGACATCAAGCCAATTTTTTTTACTATGATTTCTTATACGCCAGCCAAGATTATAGCATAAGGTAGATGCATAGTATAGCAATGCTGTAGATTGACAGTGCCTGTTGATGTAAGTGATGTGAATGTTGGTCTTGACTTTTATGCCATGTATTGTGTAGTGTAGTGTAAGCAACGTGTCACTGTAATTTATTTTCAAAAAATACATTTTTTCTTCTGGTTATTCTTTTCACCTGGCGGATGTGTGTCTCCAGCGCTACCTGGTGGATGTGTGTCTCCAGGGCTACCTGGTGGATGTGTGTCTCCAGGGCCACCTGGCGGATGTGAGTCTCCAGGGCCACCTGGCGGATGTGAGTCTCCAGGGCCACTTGGCGGATGTGAGTCTCCAGGGCCACCTGGCAGATGTTTATCTCTAGCACCACCTGGCGAATGTTTGTCTCCAGTGCTATCTGGCGTATGTGAGTCTCCAGGGCCACCTGGCAATTGTTTATTTCCAGCACCACCTGGCGGATGTATGTCTCCAGTACTACCTGGCGGATGTGAATCTCCAGGGCCACCTGGCGGATGTTTATCTCTAGCGCCACCTGGCAAATGTTTGTCTCCAGTGTTACCTGGTGGATGTGTGTCTCCAGGGCTACCTGGCAGATGTTTATCTCCAGCGCCACCTGGCGGATGTATGTCTCCAGTACTACCTGGCGGATGTGAGATTCCAGGGCCACCTGGCAGATGTTTATCACCAGCGCCACCTGGCGGATGTATGTCTCCAGCGCTACCTGGCGGATGTGTGTCTCCAGTACCACCTGGCGGATGTATGTCTCCAGCGCTACCAGGCGGATGTGTGTCTCCAGCGCCGCCTGGCGGATGTGTGTCTCCAGTACCACCTGGCGGATGTATGTCTCCAGCGCTACCTGGCGGATGTGTGTCTCCAGCGCCGCCTGGCGGATGTGTGTCTCCAGCGCCAACCGGCGGATGTGTGTCTCCAGCGCCACCTGGCGGATATGCGTCTCCAGCGCCACCTGGCGGATGCGTCTCTCCTGCGCCACCTGGTGGATGTGTGTCTCCAGCGCCGCCTGGCGCATGTGTCTCTTCGGCGCCACCTGGTGGATGAGTATCTCCAGTGCCATCTGGCTCCTGTAGCTTTTCATCGACACTTGGTGAATGTGATTCTTTATTACGTGAGCCGAAAATATTATATCCCGGGGACGACTCAACTTCTTCCACAAACTCGACTTCACATGGGCCATCGTGAAAATATCTCCAATTATCTAAAAATTGATTCTAAGTTATTAAAAAAACAGTAAAATATATATACATATATATATTTTTTTAATTAGGTTTTGTATCGCTTGAATCCGATATGTAACGGTCATAATTATGGTGGGTATCAGAAGTATCAGAAATCTCTTAACGGGTAACCGGGGCTCCGACTCGACGTGCAGGAGAAGGAACGGGGTGGTTTGTAGTCAGTAAGAGTCTGACACTCCCTCCCGCCTCACCCAGGCGGGAGCAGTCATTCGATGATTTTCCCCCCTTAAAAAAAAAAAAGAAATATACAATGTTGGAGTAGGTATATTGCTCAGCGAAGGCCATTGTTTAGGGATTCTGTTTTGTTTATATAGTTTGTTATTTATTTATGCAAAACAAACAATAATTATTCTCTCTTTGAAGCGAAGTTTGATCAAACGCAGGAGATGTTCATAGAATAGGCAAATAATATTAGGTATATGCTGTTTCTAATGTGTAATTAAAGGTTAGTATAACTATTTGTGGTAAAAATAGTTTTATTTGTTAACATAAATTAAAACAATAACATCTGTCAGATGTCTAAAGTTGTTGAAACATTTTACAAATTGCATACGGTCACTAGTTCACTACATTATATTATTATCAATATTGGCTAAATTAATTTTATTTAGACACTACTATATACCCTAGAACAAAATCGAATTTTAATTGATTTAAAAACTTTTTAATCTGCTATTTCGTATACGTGTGTAGATTATAGCATAAAGTAGGTAGGTACATAGTATAGCAGTGGATATTTATTGGCTGTTGACGTGACTGACGTACTGGTGGTCTTGAATTTTATGCCATGCACCAACAGTCTGTGTAGTATACGCATGGTGTCAATATAATTTAGTTTGAAAAAATAAATTTCTTCTTCATCTTCTGGTAATATAAGTTGGACATCGGCATTCCACCCGACGGATGTGCGTCTCCAGAGCCACCTGGCGGATGTGTGTCTTCAGGGCCACCTGGCGGATGTGTGTCTTCAGGGCCACGTGGCGGATGTGTGTCTCCAGGGCCACCTGGCGGATGTTTGTCTTCAGAGCCACCAGGCGGATGTTTGTCTCCAGGGCCACCCGGCGGATGTTTGTCACCAGGGCCACCTGGCGGATGTTTGTCTCCAGGGCCACCTGGCGGATGTTTGTCTCCAGAGCCACCTGGCGGATGTTTGTCTCCAGAGCCACCTGGCGGATGTTTGTCTCCAGAGCCATCTGGCGCATGTGTGTCTCCAGGGCTGGCTGGCGTATGTGTGTCTCCAGCGCCACCTGGTGGATGTGTCTCTCCAGTCCCACCTGGTGGATGTGTCTCTCCAGCCCCACCTGGTGGATGTGTCTCTCCAGCGCCACCTGGCGGATGTGTCTCTCCTGCGCCACCTGGTGGATGTGTGTCTCCAGTGGCATCTGGCTCCTGTAACTTTTCATCGACACTTGGTGGATGTGATTCTTTATCAGGTGAGCCGAAAAAAAGTCCTGGGTACGCAACTTCTTCCACAAACTCGACGTTACATGGGCCATCGTGAAAATATCTCCAAGTATCTAAAAATTGATTCTTAATTATTTCAAAAAAATCTGAAAATATCGTTATTTTAATCAGGTTTGATATCACTTGTTCCCGCAAATGTCAGAATATGGAGGATGTCATAAGTATCAAAAAATGACCCTGAACGAAACCACCGACAAATAACTACATACGTCTATGTCGTTAGAAAGTTTTTTTCATGACTATCATATTTGTAAGTGTGGGAGCTGGTTTCAATTTGTTGTGAGGATAATATTATAGTAACTTAAATGATATCTAACTGTCAAACACCGCGAGGACACCAGTGACCGCAACCTACTGTTTTTTAATTGTGTCTATAATGACGGTACTCAAAGGGTTAAAGGACAATGGGTAATGTTGGACCCACCTCTCAATAGGAATAAGATAGTCTTCTAAGAATAGCTATTATAAATAAGAAATCACGTCTTTTATCCCCGAAGGGGTCGACAGAGATGCACATTACGGCACTTAATGCCAATGGATACCTAGGTATTCTTGTATAGAATAAAACTTTGTATGTCTAAGGTCCAAAGTCAGTGATTTCGAAGTCATAGTGTCTATAATGTTGCTAAGAAAACATTCCCGAGCTACCAAAGGAAAAAATATCGTAACTCATTTAATTATCATAAAAAATCCCAAACTCATTATTTACATGTCTATCTCTTACATCTCATCTCAACTCTACCTTTCACTCTCTCTCTCTACTATTCATCTCTAATCTACTATTTCTACAAGTACCTACTAAGAGGGCAATTTAATAATAAATTCCTACCCATTCAACGGCTAACATTGGCAATTAGCATAACTTAACATTGGCCATCGACTCGTATGCCTGATATTATTTAGCTATGAGCTCCTCTAGTATCCAACATGGCTCTAATATTAGGTAGAAGGAAACATCAATAAAAATAATATAAATATCTTGTGCAGATTGTGCAAATGACTGCACGGTTGGCGCGGTGGCTGGGCAACTGGCTGCCGTGCAATGTGTCACGGGATCGATTCCCGCACGGAACAACTCTTTGTGTGATCCACAGATTGTTGTTCCGGATCTAGGTGTCATGTGTATGTGAACTTGTATGTTTGTAAACCCCATTTGTAAGCCCCACACTAGGATTTTCTGTGTGCACACGACACAGGAGAAAAACCTAGTGTGGGGCAAGGTTTAAAAAAATCTTCGAAATGAAATGAAATGAAATGAAATGAAATGAAATGAAATGAATGAAATGAAATGAAATGAAATGAAAAATGTTTATTCGGCATAAGACATGCACGCCAGAAAAGACATATAAATATAAAAAAGCATAAAAACAGAAAAATTAAAAGATAAAATTTAAATTATAAAACTAAAACTAAAATAAGCCAATAAGCCATTCAAGTGCTCGGTGTTGGCGGACATGTCCAATCCAAACGGGTCACCAACTCAGCATAAAGCTGGGCACAATGAGCACCCAACACTGATTTTCAGTTGGCACCCCTGCAGTGACGCACGGACGAGAGCAACACATACTTGTAATCCACATATGTATAGAAACTTTCTTTTTAAACTGTCAAACACCAAGCGGTCACCGGTGACCGCAACCTATTGTTCTATAATTGTATCTATAATGACGGTACTTGACGAGTTAATTTTGCGTGTTCAATTTATTAACAAATATAATAGTGAAATAGTATTAACAAATAAAACTGGCTGCCGTGCAATGTGTCACGGGATCGATTCCCGCACGGAACAACTCTTTGTGTGATCCACAGATTGTTGTTCCGGATCTAGGTGTCATGTGTATGTGAACTTGTATGTTTGTAAACCCCATTTGTAAGCCCCACACTAGGATTTTCTGTGTGCACACGACACCGGAGAAAAACCTAGTGTGGGGTAAGGTTTAAAAAAAATCTTTGAAGAATATATTCCTCAGATTAAAATAACTTTAGGACGTCGTACCTGGAGATACTACCATTTAACTATAAATATAATTGCAACTATAATAAAATTCCATTTAGGAAAGACCATCGTAGACCGCATCATAGCTTACCACCAGGCGAGATATTGGTCAAACGTCGGCCCATCAAATATAAAAAAGCGCTATCCAATGGTGTATCACATGTTATGTGGCTATTGAGGGGTGGGCCCTGACTCCATACATTTGGTTCGTATTGTCTTGCTCAAACGCAAGGTGGCTCGCGGGACGATCTCCGGCCACCGTAAGCGCGGGCCTGCGGACGGCGAGCACGGGTGGCTCCCCGTCCGACCAGAAACAGACCCGAGCGTACGGCGCGTCGCGTTCCGCGCGCGCCTCAAAGAGCCATCAGACCACCACAGATGGGGCCCAATAGGGCCGATGCCGATTCGGAGTCGCGGAGAACCTAACGGGTAACCGG